CGGTAGTCTCAAGCAAGCTGGGTCTTCTTGCCGGCAGCCGACAGAAGCATTCATGCTAATCCGAAGCCGTCACAGCGGACCTGTTCTTCTCTGAATACTGCATGCTGCATGGTCTGATTTCTGACGTTTGTGGGTTTCACTGCTCATCTACACTGAGGAAGGAGCTTGCAAAAAAGGATCCCGTGGAAGTCTTCGCAAGCTACTGGATGGCAGCGCTTTGCAAGCTTCATAAGGAGTTGAGCTGGGGGAACGTTTTGGAGGGAAGTGCTTTGCGCGGCCGGCATAAAACAGGAGCCAAGCCAGAAAACGACATGCTCTTTGGGTCAGGTGGCAAATCATGTGATCTCTTTTTTTGCTGCACTGGCGATGCCCATAGAGTCTGCAGAGCCATTGGGAATCCTGATCGAACCCTGGAAGCTAAGATTGGTTAAAGTAAGCTTGAAGTCAGCACCCATGCGCCTTCATGGCTCTCAGGGTCCTTTTGCCAAAGAGAGCCCTGCCAGGAGTGGCGGGAGTTGTGCGAGCGCGACCCCAAAGCCAACATCTCCATGTCCTTCAACCGGGTCTACGAATATGCCGCTGAGCACAATCCTCTAGGAAGCTTCTTATTGAGCACATGGAGAATCCAGTCTTCTCATGTCCTGATGAAGACCGTCTGAGGCATTGGACTTGAGAATCCAGGTGTTTCCGTGATTTTGCTGAGCAAGTTCCATGGACACGGACATGAAGTGATGTCTGTTGGCTTTTGCTACTCAACCGGCAACTTCCCTCGCTGGTGCTCTGGGGGGGTGCGAGATGAGATTTTTAGAAAGATCCCTACGCAATCCCCGTTTCTACCCTGAAGAAGTTACCTGTCTCCTGTCTCCGGCCCCCTCTAAAGCACCGCGAGCTCCATAGCAGCTTTGCGCCAGGTCGGCGTGGCGGTGGAAAGTGCCTTGGCCACCAAGCACTCCGACCGCATCCGGGTCCTCACCGAGGTGGACGCCAGGCACACGGGCCCTTCTGGGGCAGCGGGGCAGAACAAGGTTCAGTTGGTAGGACCGCACTAAGGAAGCAAAACCCGCAGGCAGAAAAGCAAATAGTTGTGTCCTGTCATCCTGGATCCTATGCATTATGCGTAAACGGTTTTGCAGGTCTTCCGTGACCAGTGGCCACAACTTGCTCGTCCGCAACTTGCTTCAAATAAAGGATCCTGAAGGAAGAGGGTGAAACAGCTGCTTGCTGTTTACATTGCCTGGCTACATGGCAAAGTTGGTTGCTGATCGGCAGTATCCTGTCAAGTGCCACTAATTGTAAGCGTTGAGTCGCGAGGCCTGTGATCAGTTGCTTTTGGCAGCGGATTATGTAATGATAGCCAGGTACCCAAGGCAAAGCCGGAGAGTTCCATAGCTCCGTTTTCGAACGGCTCCGTAACTCCATAACTTGTTTACATCCTTGCGCGAGCTGAGGTGCTGAGCCGCCTGGTTGACAATTTAGCATGGGTTTGTACAATCACGGCTACCATGGCTACGAGCATGAAGGTTGGCAGTGCGCTGATACATGCTGTGTCTTGCTTTGGCGTGGTGTACTTGCCTGCACCTCATCCAACACCAGCAAATCCAAGCACGTCCCATTTTGACAGCAGGATACGGGAGCTGACCTTCATGTCATGCCTGCCAGGTGCCAGACTCCCTGACAGCCAAGGTCCCGCGTTCTTGTCGGCATGGTCCGCTTGGAGCATTTGTTCCTTTGCCTCGGTTCCTCGGCCGTTGATTTGTGATTTGGTGGGATGGGGCCAAGCGGGTGAGGAGTGAAGTTTGGTAGACATGAACCCTTTTCAGGGCCTGTAGTGGAGGTGACAAAACAAGATTGCGCTAGATCTCCAGCACTCCTGTGTGAACCAATGCCTTACATAAGCCGATAGCAAAATAGATCGTCAGCTCCACAGCAACATCAAATCTCCAACATCTCAAAACATCGGAAGCTGCTGGAAGGGCGACATGAATCCACCCTGACCGCCCCAACCTGTTTCGGATAAGACCCGGCCAAAACCTCTTCACGGAAGGCGGCATTCTTTGGTGCTGGATATATAGAGCGCGGTCAGTGTTACGGACACCCTGCGAGGTTACGCAAGGAGACCAGCCGCCAATGTAACGCCCAACAGGCTTGCTCTCCTACTGCAGGCGGCCCGAGCTTGGGCCTCTTGATCTCGACAGAGCGCCATGTGAGTTGAGGCTACAAGCTGAAGAGCGGCCGGCCTAGCCTTCAGGACGAGTCGGAGGAGGACTTCAAGGCCTGCGGAAAGTGGCTCCATTTTGCAATAGAGCCCTGCAGAAAGACAGGTCGGTGGTGTTCAATAGCACAGCACAGGCCCAACTTCTGGGCGAAGGCATTCTAATTCTTCTTAGCCAGATGTCTGAATGCGCATTGCCACGGACTAAGTACTGACCCTGATGTATGTTGTCCTTCCTTTGATAGGACCCGCCTTTCAAGCCGAAGTATCTAGGCCCTTGTTCAAAATTGACCTACAGCAACAAGCACATTCGGAAAATTGAGATGAAACAAGCTCTGGCCCAATAGATAGACTCGTATGTAAATTTCTTACGTAAACTGAGACACCAAGAGGTTGACATGTTTTTGGGAACAGGTGCAGCCTCCAAGAACCAGCTCCAGTTGCCTGGTGGAGTAAGGATCTGATCCCGATTTCAGGGAAGATTCTGTGATGGTGGTTGGATTCCCATTGTTTAAGCGATCCCTATGTGCGAAACGAAGTTCATCACGTGTTCCGCTTTGGTCCTATCATGCAGTTTCGAAAGGTCCCGAATAAACACGTGGGTTACAAGAATCTGCAAGCTGCACGTTTCTCTTGCCCACGTCTCATGGCTTTTGCACCAGTCTGTGGCACAGTAGGTGGTGGCATTGTGTGATAGGCGAACCCCAACATCAGGGACCATACCAGCTGTTTTATCACGGTTTCCTTTACTTTCCAATTTCCTGACTGAGGTTCCTCCGTCGACAGCAACTTTGGCTTAAAAAGCGACTGCTGCCATCGCGAGCTTGACGCACGCATGAACATGTCCAACATGGGGCCTCCTGTCTCCTTCCACATCCTATCCTAATACGATTGTAAGCGCAGAAATGCGATGACGCCGGGCTCCCTGAAGTCCCCAAGCCAAACCTTGGCATGGCGTGTGTGTCTTCCCACCTCATGTTTCGTCTTCGATGATTTCGATGGAGCTCAGCAAGCCATGGTGGAGATAACTTCTGAACGGTATCGTGTCTCGTATATTCTACACGTTTTGGAAGAAAAGAGCGAATGACACTATTGGAGCATGCCCCTTCCGATCATAATAGGCGCCCAAAATAGTGTTGATTCTCTTCAGGGCGTCCATTGGCTCCATCTTCAATTGCAAAAGAGTAGGTGAAGCCCAACACAAATTGCTCAAGATTCAGTGGCAGAGAGAGATAGAGAGAGCTTCGCCTATCAAATGTGAATAGTTGTGGACACGAGTGCTCTAAAACTCGGCGCATCATTCGGGAATGCACATAGTACGTGGAAGGAGAAGACAGCTAGAGGCGTACCGATAAAGACAGAACCAACATACGTCCACGTAAGTTTCACGGCAGAGTTGAGAAGCGGGAATGACTGTGCTGGGATCCTTCCATGCCGGGGGGGGGTAATGGGTAATTACGGGGGAGGTCCTAGCATAAACTCTAAAGCTTTAACCCTATGTCAGCACCCCAAGCCTCCCGAGCCTTCTGTGTCGGACGGGCGCTAGACATGTAGATAGCCGGGCTCGGGGTGTGGCCCGTGTGTGCTCCTTCGCTAGTATGCAGAGCCCAAAGAAGATAGGGGCTATAGGGGTTGCAGGGGTTATATGGGGGGAGTATATATATATATATATGTATATAGCGCAGTATGCGTTTCGGGTGGTCTTAAGGGGGATACTAGGAGTTTTTCACCACAGGGCGCCAACTGAGCTGATATAAGCAGCTTTGTGACCATAGGCGATGTGTCGATGGCGGTTCCCGAGCTGATCGACTCCGCAGAGGCCAGGCAGCCCAGCAGCTCAGGATTGTGGTCTTCTAGTCAAGGACTTTGATTCATGGGGTTCCTGTAAAGTAAACTGAGGCTAAGACAAAATGTGCTAAGGAGCCTGCATTTCTGGATGCGCAGGGGTGGCGTTCAAATGTTTTCTGGAGTCGAGGTATTTCATTCCTACGTTTTCAGAAGACATCCAAACTTGAGCGAATTGGCTGGAGGCTTGGGTTCTAGAAAGATGCTTCATTGTGCAGGGGGTCTAGAATGACAATCTTTTCTGAGAGCACAACAGCAGATTCTGGGCCTTTTCCTATTCCATCTACCTCGCCTACTCACTTGCTCTTACACCTGAAACGGCTACTACAGTACCACAGATCAGTGGCTGCAGCAGTCCAAGAACAAAAGTAGTAATGAGAGCCTTTCGCGGCAGGTTTATCGACTTTACAGGGGAGCTTGTGGCGCGGAGGGGGACATCCAGGAGAGCAAGTTCCTAGTGATGGAAATAAGTATAGGGACTACCAAAATAGTATAGTCCTTACTATGGGGACCCCCAAATCGGTATCTGAACACGTGGGCTTATAAGCCCCACACCTCATTTCGCAGGATTTTGGAAGACATGGAACGGCTCTTGCAAACAATGGCTTTCGTCATAGCATCTGACATTTTCTTTCCGTTGGTCCTGATTAGTAGTTTTCAGCCGTGGAGCCTACGAACTTACATTTGGAGATATTTCCGGGGCCCCTTCAGGAGCGATGTCGGATCTGGGCGTCTTGGCAGAGAACGCACAACATTCGCCATGCAACGGGTAGCCAAAGTCAGCCCTCAGATTCAAATGCTCCGTGTCACGTCGCTTCAGTGGCTGACGACAGTGGAAAAGACGTTTCCCTACGTTAGGGATCTCGTTTAGGGGGCCCACAGACGTACACTCATGGGTAAGGCAACGTCTCTCAGAAACAATTACTGTACCCAAATTCTTTGCATGGGTGTGGCCGCCAAGGTTGACTTCACGCGTTTGCAGATTGCAGTTGCTGAGTATAACACGCCAGCAGACCCTGCCAACTGCATTTCTTTGCTGGACATAACTTGGTGTCACTGTGACGCGGTGGACCAGGACATTATGCCAAAACACTGCCCCTCCGCAGTTTGGGGCACTGCCCCACATCTTCACTGTAGCTTGACAGGTGTTGGGTTTTAAGGCGATTTTATGTCGATCGTGTTTCAGCGCTGGGGAGGCGACAACTTTATGATCGTAGTACTGGCTTCTTAGAGCAATATGAACAATCTGCAGGACTCTTCTTTTCTCTACCGCATCGACGTTTTCAGCCGGAACCCTCCGAAAGGAGCGCGGGGTTGTGTACACAGGCAAGCTTCACAAGACCTTCGTTCAACAAGTCACCTCAACGAGCCCTTCGCAAAAGCTATTGGCCGTCCCTCGTGTTCCAGTTACTGGTAGCCTCCCAGTATACATACAGAACAGGATCTTGGAGATTCGATTGATGTAAGAGCTGTATTTATATAATTCTCGGACATTTTTTTTTCATGTGAAGGACGAAGCGTTTGCAAGTTTCCGCCGGCTTGGTTAGGCTAGCTAGATTTCATTGTCTGCCTTGGAGTCAAGGTTGAGGGCAACTGGCCAAGACAACCATGTGTATGCGACCCCTACGCTGGACCCGTGACCTGCATGAATGAAAATCGAGATGCAAAACCTGTCTCGCCAAGCGACGTGCTTGTGCCAGGAGGGGCTTCTCCAACACGTCAAACTCGGCCGGAACCCATGCAGAAGCCTAGAATTAGCGCACCTCGACAAGCAACTGCGTCTTTTTGATGACCTGCAATGGCATTGTACTCTGGCAGCGGTTGCTCGAGGTACCATAAGTACAGGGTAGTCAGCAATGGCGACCTACACATACAAAGAGAAGCCACACTGCGCCTGCTAGCTAGGTCCAGCTAGGTATTGCTCGTGCCATTGCAAGGAGGAGAAAATCAGTGACAGCCAGCATTCATCAACAGTTTGGCTCGAGGGGTTTTCCAGCCCAGTGTATCATCGTGCTGGCTTCCCTGGTGCTGAGGTTGCAGGGTCTTCGACCACGTTGCAAGAATTCGGCGACCCGGCTGTCTTCAGTTTCAGTGCCCCGGAGAGCTCTCAACGAAGCGCCGCGCTCATCCCGAAAACATGTTTCCAATACTGTGCTAGTCTTTTGGTTGCAGACAGACACCACAGGAGCCAAAGTAATTCTTCTCCAGGCCAGCAGCAATTGCATTTCATTTAAACGAGGACTCGCGCTACAAAAGCTGCTGAAGTCTCGGGACAACGAGGGCCACGGCCGCCTGTACTTCATCCAGAAGCGATTGTTCCAGTATCTCTGGAGATCAGTCCAACTGTCAGTCAGTGAGGAGAGCTGTGGGATTCTGAATGCGTGCATCCAATGCTCAGTCAACTTTTTCTTACTGCTTGCATATAGCTTATCGGAGATGCCTGGCTTCCTCAACTCTACGAACACAAATAGCTACAGAGCACACTCTGCCACTCTTTACAGGCTTCACTTCGCAGGTCTCCACGCCTAGAGAAAGACTTTCCTCCCTCCTTGGTGGAGGACCGGCTGGTTGAGGCGCAGGCGGTCTTGGCTTTCAACCTCAATCCAAAGGACAGGGAATGCATTGCCCAAACTGGGCAGCATGAGTTAAGAGGAGTTAGACTTGACATATTGCTAAACGTAGAACAATATCCAGGCAATGAGCATCTGGTCTTTTGAAAGGGCGAGCGGCCTCCCTAACACATGCTTGGCTTACGCAATTCCAGCCTGTCATGACTTCAGCAGCGGCTGATTGAAGAAGAACGCTGCAACTTTGGTGATTGCTGTCAGTGCTTCTCCTTGAGGATGGCATTGCATATTTGAAGAGCCGCTGGTCTGCAGCCATAACTTACTGGGGCTTCGTAGGGAATATGGGAACATATTACGTATGGATTAAATTCCCTTCATCCCTACATTACTAGTCACCAGTAAGTTAAGGGGTATGCTCTTGCATCAGAGCCTGCGAGATGCTCGTGTTGTGGCTTTGAGCGTCTTCCCGGCATTAAGGAAAATTGAAGAAGGACACAGACGATGTGTCTCGGCGCCTTTAAAAAAGCTCTCGTCTTCATTGCCAGCACATTTGGACTGTCATCATGGAGTCTTTGTTTTACTTCTAAATGGTTCAGGAAGTGTCAGGATACTTCCGTCCCGAGGTTCAGGCAAGGACGTAGGAATGTTGTGTGGATGTGCATGCGGTTCGCACGGCGATCGAAAACTATCAGGAGATCGGTGAGTGGCTTTCCCAAGTCTGCACCGAACGGGGTGGCCTGGATCCCACCATGCTAGGACCGAATATACGTGAATGCATGCAAGGGCAGATATCCGATGCTGATCGCATTGAAAATCATGTCTTTTTTAATCTACGGATGGTACTGTATGCTTGGTTTCTGCTACAGCGGGGGACTATTCAACAACAGATCTGGCAGATCATGTTCTGGAGTCGGCATTGTCCGCATGAGATTTGGTGCAATGCGGCAGCTGCTCGCATGTTTAACTTCGTACTGTGTGGAGCACGCACTCATCAATTACAGTGGCACCCATGATATGCAGCAGCCCCCTGACCCTGCCCAACATTGACTCCACCAGGAAATATGTCCAGACCTATTTCCCACCCCCCTACCCCCCAACACCCCCCATGTCCTTAAAGAGGGTGAATGCTCATGCGCCCACTGTGACTTATTTTAAGCGGCGTGGCAGAGACGGTCACGGCAATGCATCTGCAAACAAAACGGGTACCTACTATAATCGAGAATCAAATGGAAAAGAAAATGGAAAATGAAATGGAAACCCTAGGTCCCCTTTAAAGGGGTATATAGGGATATATAGGGATATTACCCCTATAATGGAGGATCAAATGGAAAAGAAAATGGAAAATTAAATGGAAACTGTGTTTATGTAGCGGATTATAGGGCCTTATAGGGATTAGGGTTGTGGCAATAGGGATTATAGGGCCTTATAGGGATTAGGGTTGTGGCAATAGGGGTCCTGCCGCGGATAAGCAAGTTGCCTCACAGAAAGCAGAAGGAATTCAAATTGGGGTATTTGCTTCAACTGCATTCGCAGGAGATTACTTCAGCAGGCGAGACACGTTGAAGATCTTCTGGAGCTTTGTGAGCCGTATCGCCGCTCAACCTGAAGTGATATTTGAAGCATTTTCCTGATTTCCTGACTTGGGGTTGCATGGAAGTTTCTGGAAATAATCCCTATAGAACGCCTAATGGCACTCCCCATGATACCAGCTGCTTTTCGAGGCTCAGGACTGGCTGCGGCTTGAGTACTGGAGGCATGAAAATATCCCCATGCCCAAAATCGAAGTAGGCAACAGCCAAAAGTTCCGTGTCGGGATTGAAAGATGCATTGGAACCTCAGTCAATGACTCAGGGTGCGTCCTCTCCATGAAATATCCAGCGCTACACAAACGGCGCCGCAACAACCAAGATCTCCCGTGCTTCAGTGCGTTTATCAAGCAGGGCATGTTTTCAAGACACGGCTTGTAAGTTCCTTTGGAAATCTGAAACACAAACATTGTTGCAATTTGGGGAATTCTATTCATGCCCTCGCTTCTTAATCACCGAAAGCATAGAAAACACTGCAACTTTGCCTGCAAACTCTTGCTAGATGCGGTGAGCTTTGGCATTGAGGACTTCTCGAAGCAGGATTTGGTCTCCGCACTGCGACAGCTCTTCGACACATTTAAGCCTGGCGGAGAGGGGCAGGCAACTTGGATCCACTAATGCCACTGATCCATGTCACGAAAGCGCGCCACCTGGCAGGCAAGAATATCAAGACCACTGAATTAAGTCCTTAAAGGGGGTTATATAGGAGAGCATGATAGGACTCATTAAGGGGGATACTAGTCAGCACGTTGGTACATGTGTGTCATTTTGCCCTATGCTCATGTTTGACATCCGTGGCGGCCCACTGCTCAGACGGGCAAGTCCTATTGTGGTACGAACCTCGTTTCGTGCTAATATGAAATATACATCGCATTAGGAGGCTCAGTAGTCATAACTGAGATGAATGCCGAGGTGATCACACGTATACTGGAGTATTTTGCGGAGTCCTACTTTCTGCAGCCTGGCTTCAGCAAGAAATGCAAGAACAGAACAGCTGTCTCCGAGTTGCACGGTGATTGAATGGAGTTTCTTCTTTGTTTTCATGACGGGGCGAGATCGAGACCAGCCCTATTGAGCCCCAGGAAAAAGAGTAGGTCGCATCTCGCAGTTCATTACAAGCATGACGGCCGCTGTGACGGCGCGCCGTCAGCATCTTTTGGTCCAAGTGGAACAGAACCATCCCGTGCAAAGAGTCCGGTATGACATCCACCAATGTGGCCAGAGACCTGCCTATCTGACTATTGAGGCAATGGCAGAAGCAGCAGGACTCCGCCAACAGTCTGACTAACTTCAAGTCTTCTGACACCGTCTTCCAGGCCGCCCTTGTGCTTGGGATAATCCTTTTGAGGATCCAAGAAAATCCAAAACCTAGAACACCCAGTCTGCAATTACTGCGCTCCCATTGGGAAGCATATGGGAACTACTTGAAGTCGCCAGGGGTAAGGCTGGGCAGTAAGCCACCTTCAATGATAGCCTAAAGCCAGCTAGCAAGCTCACGGCTTGAGCTCAGACTCGGGGTTGATGGGTCCAGAAGACCTGTGAAGGATCAAGGGTTCAAAGACAGTTTGTTTGCGTGGGAGCGTGCCTGTGTGTTTTGTTGAGAAGCTGTCTCTGGCTTTACCTGGCAGGACCCTCATCTCACCCTTCAAGTGACACTACCAACACGTCAGAAAGGACAAACAAAATGCTCAAACATGCCCGATAGGCATCTAGGAGCTGTTGTCAGGCTCGTCCCCTCCCTTCTTTCCCCCGCTTCCTCCGCTCTTCCTCCAACCTTGTCCTCTTCCGCATGGTAGGTCTATGCGGATGCATGAAAAGGTCTCTTAGATTACGGCTGGTATTCTGGTCACTGGATGTGCCGGGATCTGCTCTAAATAACCTGTAGCAATCAATCAGTTCCCAGTTCAGTTGACAAAGTTGGATGCGCCGCTTGAGAAAAGCAGGTGGCTGTGAGTGGCTTGGCATGCAATGGACGCTGGTTTCTGAGCGATAGTGTCGGAGTGCAGGCAAATTGCTTGCCCCTTAGGACTCAAAAGCTTTGCTAGAGGTTGGAGGCAGGCTGCAGGCTTGGGCTTGCAGACTCAAGTGAGCAGCGTAACCCCCCCCCCCCTCGCCAGTCTTCGTTTAATATTTTGGCGGCACAAAACTTGAGTTCGGACGGTGGCCGTGGAAGGTTCGTGGAATGGGATGGCTTCGCAGAAGGGTCGCGGAAGGTGTCGCGAAAGTATTCCATGAGTAAACAATATCTCCACAGCGAAAAGGTTTGCGGAAGCAAAAACTTAAGGACGTCAAAACTTGCAGATGCTCTGGGCGTTGGAAGGACGCAGAAGGGTTGGCAAAAGGGTTACGTGGAAGGTTTTCTGCATCATACGAGTCTTTAATGCAATAAAACCGGCTGCTCAACTGTGTCTTCAATGCGGAAGGGCCGGCAAGGCTCTGAAGTCTAGAGGAGGCGCGGTAGGAGTGAGGAAGTTTATTTGCATTCCCGCCACTACCTGGTGCTGAGGCCTCATCATGTTGAACACAGGCCTCCACGTGGCCAGCAAAAAGCTGAAGAAGGCGAACACGGCAGCAATGACCTTGGAGGAATACATATCCAACACGAGGCTCGGGCATTCCGTATTAATGCGCAAAAGGATCTGAGAAAGCCCCATGCAGGGAACAACAACCAGGCAGAGGTGACTCCCCTGCAGACCTGAGAACTTGTTCTAGGCAATCCATCATGCAGGCACACTTGACCAGGTGCAACACGCGAACGGGGTGCTTGAACCCAGGATTGCTCAAAATCTCCCAAGCCATCTCAGCAACTCGTATATTACCATGGAAATGCAGCCGAGACACCGCGGCAGGCGTCTAGTTTCCGAGGAGGAAGTCCCGAACGAGGCCCTGAGGCCACGGTGGGAGTGTTAAAGGGAGGGCAGAGGATCACCAGCTCATTATTTGCAAAGGTGGTTTGTGGCTGGCTTCATGTTACATGGTGAGAACTGAGCTATGAATTTGAGGGCTTCAAGGAGTGGCAGAGCGCGCGTGCGAACCAAGTTGGCGAGATGTGTTTACCCTAAACTCCTAAACCACGTCGTTGGACTGCTCTGAGAGACAGGACCTGGTTCGATGACATCAGTCCCTTGTCATGCAAGCACCTGTCCCGAGCCGAGTTCGGTTATATTCATGTTCATATTTGTTAGACTGGTGCAGGTTTGACTGGCTCACATGATGCCACACTGTGCCACAACTTCAGATAAGTTCTGGAAACTCTTGTCGGATGGGGGCAGGGATTTAAAAAAATGAGGCATTCAAATTGCCAGGCATGGTTACAGGGTCCGAAGTTTATCCGGAATCCAGAGCAGGAAGTTTGGCCGGCTGAAGCCAAACCCTCCATCGTTCTTGCGAATCTGCCCTCATAATGTATTTTACCTGGGGTCACCATTTGCTTGCAGTCATACCTAACTAGCAGAACACATTCAGCAATCGAACTCCTACAGAGGCATACTCAACGAATACTATACATTTTAACCCTAACATCCCTCACCCTAAGCTGCAAGGTTGTACAGAGATCTCCGTGGAGCCGATGCCCCGAACTCCCTTCTCAAAGCTGCCGGTCCAGCCAAACATTGAGGGATGGCCGGGTATCCCAGATTTTTTCAATTCCCGCAGCAACAACACGTACAGCTTTGAGGTGGCAGATCTTTTGCCTGCGAGGGAAGAGGTGGTCAGAGGGAGGAGAGCAAGAAGAGACATGCCTTCACAGTACTATGACAGTGCTTCAGATTCGTCATGTGAAAAACTTGCAAGTGCAATGCCTCTGCATGTGAAACCTTCAAGACAAAAGCCTCAGAAGATGTCACGTTGAAGCAACTCCTGCCAGGGCGTCGGCAAGTCAATCAACAAGTTGAGCGTTTTTTTTGAAAACAACTACTAAACTACTGCGACTGTAAGTGCGAACGACTGGTGATAAGACATGCCATCAGCATAATTGCTTCTTCTTCCCAGAACATTTGATGAGCAGATTACCGAGCGGGCCAAGACAAAGGATTATTTACCTGCTGGATAATTACTACTCTAACGTAGAAAGAAAAGTATGATTGGGCCAGTAAGTTGAATTCTGTTGCAAATTCACCGTAGTCCAGCAAGGAAACGTATGTAGCCCAGGGAACCCGGATGAAAAGATGTTAGGAGGATATGAGATGATTGAAATTTCATGGTGGGATTCGTTTTAATCAGGCTCATGTAGTGTTTTCTGGGGTCAATAAGGGATGTGCATACAGATGATGAGTTGCACCAGAGATCCTTTCACATCCAAGCAGAAGCCGTACAGTCTTGAACGAGAAAAGAAGAAGAGGATTAGAAGAGAGCATTTGTCAAGCAGACCCACACTTACTAGTGGTTAGCAGGGAACATGGGAATGTAATCCCCATGTAGTAATATAGTACGAAGATGACCCCTTGATGATACATTACCTTCTTCCCTACTACCCACCAGTAGTACAAGCAGGCTAGTTGCTGTGATGGATGGCGAGCTCCGCTTGCGATTCTGGGCGGTGCTGGCCGGGTTCTTAGGTAGGGTACGAGGCATAGTGTGGACAGAAGCCAATGTAGGACTTCGTGAAATTGATCATATAGCATCTCTTTGTGAGGCTGACTGTGGCTAGGGCTCTCTCGGCTTTCTTGAATCTCACATGGGAGGTTGCAGAGGCAATCGGATCCCTCACCGCTTGAAAGTTCACAAGACACAACAAATTAAAGCCCAGAGGTTCCAAGATTGTTTTTCTTCATTTAGTTGGTGGGTGCTCTGCGGCTTTGGCGGAGCTGCTCCGGAGTGAGACTGCAAGCTGCCACTCAGGTGCTGCAGCGCATCTACCTTTTCTCAGACTCCCAGGGCGATGTGGACCCAGAGGACGTGATCGACTTGAAGGATGTCGCAGTCGCAGCACTCGCAGATGCCTTTCTGCAGATCCTAGGGTTGGCTGCTGGCTAGTGTAATGGGTTCAACAAGTTGGGGTCGCCTTTCTATGTCGATGCCGGGGGTTTTTGTGGTTGAGTTCCGGCCTGAGGGCTGGGAGGGATGAACAAGCGACCTGACGTCGAGACTTGTTGAGAGCCAATGTTTCCATGAGCTTTAGCTTGCTTGGTGGGCTGACAAGGAAGACAGCGCTGCGAAGAAGCGTTACGTGAACCACTTGTTCCTTGACTTCCACTGGGCAGACGTCGAACAAAAAAAGGGCTGAGTAGCAGCTTCACATTGTTCTTCGCCGATGGCAGCTCGAGCTTCTGACATACTCTGAATGGTCCTGAATGGTCATTAGCAGGTACGCTTGCCACACGAAGTTACTCTTCATTACCAGGGCTGCAAGGTGCAGAGTTTCCATTGATCCTTGACAGAGCGGTTGAGCTGCCCAAAGTCTGGAACTTCATAGTCTACCAAACGGCGCTTAAAGATGGGCATCACCACTTTCAGGTTTGAGTAAGGTAAACTTGCAGGGTCACCTTAGAGTAAGAGCTTATGTAGGCCTACATGCGTGTATAACCCTATACTGCGCTAAATGTGAGGCCGCTGCGCCTCTCTTGAGAGCGCCGTGATGGCAAATATTGGCACATTGTCAAGCTGGCAGTCAATTTGCTGTAGGAGCCGGAAACCTTGTTGCTGCGCAGCACGCCGGCCACCGCCAAGTTGGCAGCTCGAGGCATCGAACAGGTGGGGCGCGTAGCAGCTAATCCTAGGCGTTTCGAGACTTTAGGCTTTCTCAGAATTTTGTTCCTTGTGCCGTGGGCAGTGACAAAACTTCGCTGTGGATCGCATTATTTGGCAACTATCAGAAGTTTTTTTCATTTGACAAGCACCCATATTCCGATACATTGTCAGGGCTTCACTCCACCTTCTTTACGTCACATGATATTTTTTGCCCAAACACCGCAGCGCGTCCAATGAAAATGGTTAGGTTAGGATGCTGGCCATGTGCCCTGTACCAGCAGAACCAAGCGGTGGACGCGTTTGGCAGCTGATGCTGACAATGCTGCACTTTGTGGCTGTGTTTTGATGGAAGCTTTGTGCCCGTGATCCTTATAGGGTGCGTGAAATCTCTAGCAGCCAGCATTCCAGCTCAAGTTGTCCCGTGTTCATGCATTGCCGTTTAAACCCCTCCATCCGCCCCAGGGCGCTTGAGATCTCGCAGCACTCTCCGGGCCCCCCTGTCATCCTGGCGAAGTCAAGCCCCTTCGGCACGATCGCTTTGTTGCAGCTGCTTTCAGATTTGGAGTGCGCATCTCTTGCGAGTCCTGCTGCGCAATCGGCAGACGATGGTGCTCTTGTTTTGGTGACATTTTGGTGAGAAGTGCAAAGCTGAATAGAGATTCTGTTCTTCGTGTTGTGTTGCTGGAGAGTGTACGTGCCATGGAGATTCATGGAGCATCCTTGAGCATGTAGCGGTGGTATTTGTTCTGTTCAATCTTCGATGGTTGGTAGATGTTGGTAGCAGCACAATGGCATCCAAGGTCCGACGCCACTGCGTCGCGTGGTGCTGGTGGCAGAGAGTCAAGATTTGGCGGACAAGTGGGTGCTGCTTAGCTGACGATGGCAAGGGAGCAGAGCTATCATATCTAGGCTTCAACGCCATAAATCTAACTTTCTCACATTAGCAGGCAAAGAATCGAAAAAATGGCAGAAAGCGGAGCCTGTCTCAGTCTTTATTAGAGAAGCAGGTTGTGCGAGAGCACCAGGTTAGGTTGAAGGAGCTGTGGCAGAGCTTTTGCATATCTACGATGTTTCAATGACGTGTGGGCTTGGTGTAAATCGAATCTAGAGGCCCATCCACAAAACGCCCGTGTTGATTGAGAAGCGAACGATGCTGTTGTGGGCAGCGAAGTGGATGACGCTGGCCGAAGGCATTGCAATGCAGATCTGTGGAGCTTAGGCACATGATCTCCTGTGGGCCGTGAGACAACAGAGCCGATGCAGAAAGAAAAAGCTTGTTGCAGACTTTCTGCACCCGTGTGCAGGTGTCATTTTGCATGGCAGGGGCTTAGTCCAGGCGGGTGCGCACTTAAAGATGCTGGCAGGTACATGCCGCACTCGCCAGTTGACATAGTCTTAAGACTTGTTCTTCAAGCATGCACTCTGTGTGCTCAACACCTCCACGTCACTTGCGGCCATTTTTCAATGCCAGCTTCCATCACCTAACACACCTTGATTGCAAGGTATCAGCTAGGTCCAGCAATTCAAACAGCGCAGGGGACGGAGCAGAAACGAAAGATGCACTGAGGTCACATGGCAGACCTCCTCCCCCATGGGGAGCATCTTTGAAGCACCTGCGCAGCTTGACCGCTTTGAGACCTGCGTAGCTGCGCTGTGTGCAAGTGCAATAGGCTTCGGTCCCCACACATTCGCCATTTTGCGTCCGGTGTCCTCGTAGATATTTGATCAAGCAGCTTTGGAGGACCTCCCTCGCGTGCGAAACCTGCAGACATGGCCAGGTACGCTCAGAACACCACTTACGGGCACACCTGCCCATGGGGGGCCGGCGATGACAACATGCCAGACGCCTTCACCCTTGCTGCCATGAAGGCTGCACGTCGCAGGGAGTCTAAGGAGACCATCACCAGTGAGGCACCGAGTGGCCGATCAGCTAAAGCCAGGGGGCTGGAACAATCCCAGCTTCCAGAGCTGCAGGAGATCGAGCCAAGGCCAGATGCCTTGAAGAGCTCACGCTCCACCGAGGCTTTGACCACATGGCGTTCGTCAGCTTCACGTGCTACGCGCGCCTCGCGGGCATCAACCTGTGACAGTGGCAAAGTTGAGGCAAAAATGATGGACTTAATCCAGAAGTGCTTGGACAAGAAAGTACTGGAGCTGGGACAGCTGCGGGCCCCTGTGAGTGAGATGGCCAGCGCACGCTCCTCCGCAACCTCACTGACTCAAACCACGCAGCCTGAGGCCCCTTCCCATGTGGAGACTGAGACCAGCGTCAAAGCTGAGCCTCAGCCAGAAGCCGTTACCATGGCCGGCAAGCGCGCCCAGGCACAGAAGCTCTCTGATGCTTCCCTGGGGAAGTTTGATGATGACCAGTCCCGCCTGGCATACCTTGAAATGCAGAAGAGTGCTGCAGAGGCCCGCAACAGGAACCGTTCGGCCTTGAGTTTTGGCTATGAGCCCCCCTCCCGCACACCTGACGCGGGAAAGGACCAAACCATGGCCGGCAAGCGAGCTCAAGCGCAGAAGCTCTCGGATGCTTCCCTGGGGAAGTTTGATGCCGATCAGTCCCGCCTCGCATACCTTGAGATGCAGAAGAGTGCCGCAGAGGTACGCAACAAGAACCGCTCCGCCCACTGCTTCGATAAGGCGGAGGCTGCGCAGTACCCGGCCTTGCTGCGTGAGGTGGAAGGGCTAGCAGAAAAGAAGGGGGTGACCCAGGCCACCATGGCTGGCAAGCGTGCAAAGGCCCAAAAGGTTTCGGAGGCAACGCTCGGAAAGTTCGATGCCGACAAGTCTTTGGGCGCCTACCTTGACATGCAGAAGAGTGCAGAGGAGCTGCGCAACAAGCACCGTCTCGGGCAGGGCGTGTTCTGAGCAACCAGCATCAAGATCCGCCTTTTTGATCAATTTTGATTTGCAGGTGCGGCCCGACAGGGGCCAGCTTCTGTTTGAATCAGAGACCTGCACAAGTGGCCCTTCGGCCCACTCCGTTCCAGGTGCCTGATGGGCGCGGCTGGTGTTACTTATAGCCAGCCCTGCCTCAAGATCAACCGATCAACCAGGCTCCTGCGAGCAACCTTCAGGGTTCTTGCATGCTAGCATCAGCTGGGAATCCTCTCCTACAAGTGGAAGGGATACATGTACAGCCCATCCGGCGTCACTCAGCTCCTGCCTGGCAGTGCCTGACGTACCATGCTTTCAGCCTTGAAGCTAAATGTGTTATGCTGTGGCCGCATGCTGGATTCGGCCTTGAAGTTGCCCATGTCCTAGCCAACATGCTCTTCAGTTCCTTTGTGCCACATGTGAGGTATGCACTTCGGCAGACCTGGGCGCAAAATGAGATGGTGGGCTGATAGGTTAGCCTAGCAAGTGCTTTAGCTTGACCATGGCGCATGAGTGCTGTTGATTTGCAAAGTAAATTGGGTTGCCACATGCTCTGTCCAAGGGGACTGGAGACCTCATGCCCAGGAGCATGAGTCATGGAAGGTGCCAAAGACTAATTCGGACTTATCGAGTTTTCTGGCAGGTTGTGAACATGCTTGATGTCCAAGTCCTAGTGCAATTTGAATTTGCTGTAGTGCGAGAGACAAGCGGCAACTTCCATGGATTATTTTCACGCGGGGCTTTGCCCAGCAGCACAGTGCCAGACACAAAGGAGCTGCCCGCCATGAGCAAAGTGCAGTCGCTCCGTCATTTTAGGCAATCCTCCTTGCTGGTAACAATGCGCTGCTCCAGATCGGGTTACCGCGTTCGACTATGGGTGTGTAAAATGGTTTGCCATCCAGTCATGCTTGCGTCTACACAGAGAGCTGCTCCAGGCGCGGCTTCGATTCCTGGAACCTCGGGGAGCTCTTCAGGCCTGGCAGTTGCTGAGATCTAAGGATCTCCCATGACGCAAATATCACAAGATGGCAAGGTCTCATGGAATGAAGCTTACAGTCCCCCTTAAGTAAATAGAATATGGGGTATAAGACTCCTTGCCATCGTTCAGACGCAGCTGACGTTCCGAGCCGGCGAGAGAGACAGAGAGAGAGGGGGATCTTATTAAAATATACCCAAAGCCATATTCTATCTACTTAAGGGTGGCTGTATGTTATGACCGCTATGTTGCAAGAGAGGCAGAGAGCATCATCAAAGGCCATGTCGCGTCCCTACTGGCAATCCCCCCTTCTAGCGGTCGCTACTCAGAAAATGCACACCAATTCAATTGAACTCTTTTCCTCTCGTCTTGTTACCCACTGACCCAGAACTTTCTTAAACCCCCAGGAGCCGCTGACTGCTGGCCGCGCTGAGCTTAGACTGTGGCGAGGGAGGGGCATAGCTGGCATGCAGCCAGTCCTAAAAAATGCCAGCTGGTTTAATTTTGCTTCATGAATTCGCCATGCACACAAGCTCCCGGCAAAGTAAACGCTCCTTGTGGAATACCGACGTGCTAAAGAAGTGTTTTGCCATCAAGCACGTCCAAGCGGCAGCTGTTCAAATCAGTCGGCTCAACCATCAAAATGTGCCTCGCGCGTGTCTTAGAAGGGGCGAGTCTTGAATCATAGAGGGTTTTGGCTCAGGCAGCGACATGGCCTCACTGACCGAGAGGCGCGCAGGTTCATCCGTAATGGGCATGCATCAACTGAAGGGGAAGGTAGCATGGTTGTAGCAACTTGGCAGTCCCGATGATGGTTGAAATCCTGATGTACTAACAGACCCAGTCTACACATTAATTGCCCGGTGCTGACTGGGACATCCAGGCAGGAAACCTCCCCGAGAGTCTGCCGACAAGTGTAGCCACAAGAGCTCAGCAGACATTGCTGGTTGACGTATCCTAGCTGAGAGACAGCGGGGTCCTGTATCATGTGTCGGGATGCAGGCTAGTCAGATGTCAAGCTCAGTGATGCTCCTCGCAGGATAGATGAGCGGCTTGCGGCGCAACTCAACATGCGCCTAGAGGCCAGAAACGGGTAATTGTTAAAAAACCGGGCGCAGTATCGGCTATTGCGTAAGTATCACGTTGCTGGCAACATCCCAGCTGCAGCATCAGATTAGCAATGTTCGGACTGGTGGTGTGTGCCGGCCTGAGACATAGCCCAATGCCTCAAAAAGGGGTGTGAGACGACTCTGGTTTCCTGGGTCGACATTGCTTGTTTTTTCCATGCGATGTGGGACCTGTTTAGAGAGGATCAGGCCCAAGGATGGAAGGTCCCCCATAATTTGTTTTGATGTTGGGTCCTAGCAGAATCCAGATCATCCCCTGCAAATCAATCCCCAGAGCCCTTAGACTTAGACCCGTGGGACCTGATGAGATCTCAAAGAAAACGCTCTTTTCCGTTTCCAAGTTTCCTTAGTTTTTTTTTAAAAAATGTTTTTTTCCTGGGGTGGGGCCCGTACATTGAAGAAGGTCCAACTTTACGACCCTTGCTTATTCCAATGCCGCAAGCCAGCTTGTGTTATGCACAGGAGCATTCACGATCCGTGGGCCTGGAGCTGGAGAACATGAGAAAGTCACTGCCAGACTCCTGACACTAACATGCGTTGTTGGTGACAATCTTTTGATAGGCAGAGGGCTGTACCCTGATCTGCGATCATGATTCAATTGGGCTGTGACGCAGCATGTGCGATCTCAGAATTGCTTATTGGGTTGCTTGACAGACAATTGTGCAGCTCATGGAGCGTGAGCATCAAAAGCCGCTGTCGTTGCTGAAGATGCACAGATTCACCGTTCCACTGGACCACTTCTGATCTTCACACTGGCCATCTTCAGATCCAGGACATTGCAGCCCTGACCTCCTTGTGCATCCTGCTTTGCAAGCCATGCTGTGTCGCATCACCCGGCAGCCTTCTCGGCGCTTCCAGCTGGTCAGGTCTTGGGGGCGGCAGGTGCGGACTTTCACTGTTGCAAATGGCCTTTTTCCGCCATGACGAAACAAGTACTGTACTGTGGTGCCCAGCATGAGCTCCAAACAAATGCTTGGTGTCACACGCAGATGTCATCGGCGCAGCCCCGGGGCACATCAGGCAAAGCACCGGTGGAGGAGGCCAGGAGAGCATGAATTTTGCTCCCATTCAAATTTGTGCTATTGCAAAGATTGAATTTGACAAGAGGAAGCTGTGTATGCCTACCGGTTCCTGTCCATGCTGAACAGTGGCCTGATGGTGCAAAGTGATACGCAACCGCTGTGGGGAAACGTGCAGTAGACGCAGTTGCAAGGAGGAGGATGTGGGCAACTGCCCCATGTTCGCATCGCGTCAAGGCTTGGCCGGGTGTTTCTGACAGTGTTGGCTCATGTCGCCGCAAGTCTCATGGCAGCTGGAACTGTGCAGTGGTGGCAGCAACAGGCGTGCCCGTGATGGTTTCTGCTCATGAGAGATCCCGAAATAAGTACACATGAATTTCTCTGAGTTTGAGAACGGCTCCTCCCTTCAAGTAGCGCGAATTGCAGCGAATAGTTTGAGGCAGTTTCACTTGTTGCTTAGGGTGTGCCAAGCCCAAAAACCCGAAACGTTGATAAAGGCACATTGGGATGCTCGGCAGCTCGAAAATAGCTCCACAGATTTGGCATTCCTCTTGCACGCAAGTTGCCTGGGAGCCAAGTGCCCATGAACATATTTCACCACCCACGATGAGGAATCACGTTGCCGGTGGCTCCGAGAAGCAATCTGCAACCTGTAGCTTTGCTCCAGGCAACATAGCCGAAGAAGCTACGCCGAACACTCGGATGTTGCGCGTTTTCAGGCAAGGATTTGGGGCATGTGCGATTCAATTCAACGACAGTCTGCTGCTTTACTGCAAGGAGTTCATTTCTGAAGCCGCTCGTGTGCATAGCATGCGCGACGTTGTAAAGAACATTCAAGCTGACTAAAGCCTCCGTAATCAGATGGCCTCTGGATTGTAAAGAATTCTAGTGTCTCACGGCCATGGAGATGAATTTTGGACACGTCCTCCCACCGCCCTCTCAACAGGATGGTGCCCAAAGATGTTGTCCAGAGCATCCACTCAACGTACTGGCTTTTGGTTGGAGGCCGTCTGGCCGAAAACACGTGATGTGCATCTGCCTTTGGTCATGCTTGAGTGCATGGTGCGGGCATTGTAAAGTGCAACTCCATTACATACCCTGTAGTTTCCATATTATTTTCCATGATCCCTATGCAACCACTTTTTCTAACAAATTGTTGGGGGGCTCCTCCTTTGTGTTGTACCCGATGTTCCCGGAGAACTCCAGCTCCGGGTTGTGGCTTGCCAGGCCCAGTGCCGCGCCATATGGCGGCCCAAGGCATGCGCTATGAGTTCCACTTGGCACCTGGGCTCTGGGGTTAAAGAGGTATGTAGGGATCATGGAAAAGAAAATGGAAACTATTCTCTTATGACAGGGTATATATTGGAATTATTTAGGTATGTAGGAATCATGGAAAAGAGAATGGCAACTACTATATTATAACAGGGTATATTGGGGTTATGTAGGTATGTAGGGATCTTGCAAAAGAAAAGGGAAACAACTTATAATAGGGTATATATTGGAGTAGCTGGTTGGGGCATTTTCTTTAGGATTGTCGGCCCTTCGGCCTTGGTAACAGTAGTGCCAAGGTCCACGGACCTGCCTGCGTCTAGACTTTCCAGTAGAGCAGAAAAACTCATGTGTATTGTGCTTTGGGCTCTACGGCTGACAAAGATCTCACCACTCCAGAGCGCGTGTTCCGCTGGTTAACTGCTGAATTCTGTCCCGAGAACTGTTGTTGCGGTAAAGAAATGCCAGTTTGCATATCAATCATTTCAGTCTTGATCCCGATTTGAAGTAGCATGTGTGATGTTGCTAATGCTGTGCTTGTTTGGAATACCTGCCAAATGCCGTTGCTGCGCTGAAAATGCCAGGCGGAAAGGGCAAAGCAGACATCCAAACCTGTGAGACCAAGGAAAAAAATCTTCAACCTGCCCTTCAGTGTGACTTTACCACTTCTACAAAGGGGGCCTACAATCATTGCTTCTGTAAAACTAAGCCACCCAAGCGAAACACGCACAGCCCCATCTCAGCAAGTGGCCTTCATCCGCTTGGCATTCCGCATCGTGGTCTGTGGGCTTGGCGCCCTGGCCGTGGCTTTGCGCCTGGGCAACATGTTTACAGCCTGTTGGTTTGGAGGACAACACGCGGGGTTTGTTCGGGACGGCTGCGGTGCGTCTATCAAAGTTGCCCAAAACAGTACAGTACATGGGGCCCGCATGGACATCATCCGGGAGATTTCTGCGCGAAGCTCTGAAGGATGAGCCATACAGGTTGGTGATCATGTTGAACCAACGCAGGCAGTATGCTCGTTTCTGATATGCTCTACCTACGCCCGTCAGATAGCAAAATCCAGCTCTTCCAGGTTTTGCAGTTGTTCAGCCCTTCAGAAGTGCCCTGCATATTCCTGGGCTCCTCCAGCACCCAGCTCGACTTGCAGTTGGTCCCTGTGTAACGTAGGAGAGTCTGTTTGATCTTCACTTCTCATGCAAAGTTTGTTTCTGGAATCCATCCATCCCTAAGCCCTGCCTAAGCCTAAAGAGAGGAGACACTTAACTCTTTCTCCCAATAGGGGGGCATAAACAGACCATCCTGGTACCAGACCCGTGGAGACCACGCCCAATGAGCAAAGGACAGGCCGCCGCCTCTGGCGTTGGCGAGCTTCCGCTGAAGGCGATACCACGACGCCGGCCCAGTGAGTAGCCAGCTTCAATAATCGTAACTGTATAATCATGCAACCCAGCGCCACATCAGCCTTAGGAGAATGCAGGGAGGTGGTGGGGATTGAAGGATTGAATAGAGCGTCGGCAGAAAGTACTGTACAAAATTCCCTGCAGACACCCAGTTTCCAACTGTAATCCCACGGCCCTCTGGTGACTTTCTCGTTGATGCTAAGGGATTACAGTGGGGCTCCGGACGGTGGATACATAGAGATGCGTTTCAAGTAGGATGCGGAGATTATGTGTAGAGGGTTGGCCAATTTCGGGCACGCAGAGTTCGCTCTCATCAAGTGAAGCACTGCGGTCGCAGGAACAGTAAGATTGGCTGCTGTGGGAGTACCACCAGGGTCAGTTCATTAGTAGATCAACACTTTCTACATGTACGGCCACGACCTGGTTGAATTGGTGGTGGCCTCAAGCTGGGAAAGTGGGCAAGAGCGGCAGTCCCATTTGCACATCAAGAAAGCATCCGGGTCTTCAACAATATGTGCTGCGCATTGCTGCGCCAAGCATGCCGTGTCTATATTGAGTCTACATCCTAAGACAAGCCCGGCCAGCCAGGTTGCAGCTTTCATGCCAATTCCAGAGCATTAAAGCAAGGAATAAGATACAGGTTTGCCACGGATGCTCATGTTTACAACGACAGTGCCTTGGTTCAGCATAAGTAGTGTAGCTTCGTGCAAAACAGGCTTGAGATCAGCACGGGGGTCAAGGGACTGTGTGCAACATGCCGTTCTCGGATCCATTGACGCCTTGCGTCTAAATGGCTTCAGGCTCAAAGAGCCACAGGCGCCTTGTGCTCTGCAAAGCTGCAGATGAACACTGTGCGGCTTGAATCGGATCGAAGCAGGCCGCAGTTTTCAAACAAGTTGTGTGCCCAACTCTTACATTGCTCACGTCGGTCAGGCCATACCGGGGCAGTTTGGAACGAATGCACTTACAACACTAAGTCATTAAGTTCATGCAGGAGACCTAATGCACAGTTTGAAGCATGTACTTGGGAACCCCCACCGCGCATAAACCGTAACTCTTGCTGTGCCGAGGCTGGTGTTGGTCGCGGCCTTGTCTTGTAAATGTCTTGTACTTGTGAAGGTGGGCGGTTGAAGCTTCTCCTTCTGCACTCCTACCATGCATCTGCCTCCGCTGCTGCTACACCTGTTTTTTGCGACCGCAGTTTCAGCAATTTCTTCGATTTGTTGCCCTGCTCCTGCTGCTACTGCTGTTGCTGCTCATTGTATTTCCTCCACCTGCTATGCTCCTGGCTCGTGCAGCTCCTGAGCAGTTGGGACGCCGTTTTTTCTCATTTCACTCTTCTGAAAGACCGTGTTTGTGTTGCCAACTAGAAGTGGCAAGGAGAAGTTGTACATTGTCCTCATTACGCCTGGGCTCGGGGCCGTCAAAAGACAGGTCAAAGTCCCATACCTTGCCCTATGAAAAGCAGACTCACTTAAGAGGGCACTTCCCATCCTGCGTGCTGGGAGCTTGCCCTGGTATGCCCACTGCCTTCAGCAGCGGGCATGCGCCCAAGAGTTGGATGTCTAAAGAATCAGGTTGCCCCCCGCCAGGATGCACCACTTGACCCTGATGACCTTGGTTGGGTGCCTAAGCTTTCTGTGACATAGCTCCAGGTCCGGACTGAGCTGGCGAAAGCCTTTCGAACCGAGGTCCAGCAGAATCAGCATTTGATTTGCGCAGCCTAGAGCCATAAGCCTTCAATTTGCACACGCAGAATCACATCCAAAGACAGCTCAGTCATTTATCACGTTGGTAAGGAGCTTCTTGGGGGACACTTCATCCAAGGAGCATGGTCTTGTTCACAAAAAATGACATCACCAACATCATCACATACGTATGTTGTATATGTATAACTGGAGCCATTGCTTGGCGAACCCCGTTCGAATTCGAACTCGAAGTAAGCCCCTTTGGGAAAGCATGAAAGCGACATCCAACTGGAAGTCAAGGCGAATTGGAAGCCGAACCTTCCCCCCGCCCCCTGAAAACATTGGAGCCTATCTTGAAGTCGAGCGAAATCGACTTCGAACTCGAACTCAAACCAACCCGGCCCCCCCCCGGCTGATCTGTCGGACACCGAACTCTGACTCGAACCACTCCCTCCCCTCTCCGGCCTCTCGGACGTCGAACTGGAACTCAAACCACCTCCCCCCCCTCTGACCCCTCGGACGTCGAACGCGAATTCGTAAAGCTCCACCCTACCCGGGCTACGGTCTGAGCCATTGAAGGTATGCTTTGCACTCGGAACAATCGCAGTAGTCGTCGCCACGGCATCTGACATAAACATCAAATGCAGCACCGTTAGAGAAAGTCCTGCCTGCATGGCCCTAGCAGCGGGAAACGCTGATTGCGATCGTGATGCTTCCTGCAGGATGTGTAGCGTCAGCAGTTGAAGTGGATTTTTGGGAGGCAGCGGCCATCAGCTCCATGGACGAGCAGTTGAAACGCAAGATCCAGGCCTCCTGGGGATCCTGAAGATGTTGTTGGTGTAGAGCTCAGAGTTGAGAGCTTGCGTGGTGTTACTTGGACCGACTTTTGTAGAAGGCTGTCGCAGAAAGTCAAACAGGTGCATGTACGAACATGAAGCGACAGATAAAGTTCAGGACACGAAGCAGTCAGTGTCAGATGTACAAAGGTTGATGTACGAGCAGGCTGAGGTGGGTGTTTGTGGGTACTGTAGGAGGAAGGGATTGCGCCTGCGCGATTCGGCATATTTACATGAAATCCTTTGGGAAAGCTTCTTCGTCTTGAGGATTCCTTTGGCTGAGCATCATGATGTAGATTCACCTGGTCAAAATTCTAGCTAGCCTGTCTGATTGAGCCCTGCTCTTACAGGCAGGGTCCCGAACAATTCCCCTTGCACCAGCCCACGCACACTCATAGGGGCCGTGTCTTCTTCAGCCACTAGGAATTCCAAAGGACTCCAGAGACCAGAAGCCCAAAGCCTTAAAATCTCCGATAGCGCAAAAACCCACACACTCCAACCTCCGGATTCTTGTAAGCTGCACCAGGCTTCAGCAAGCTGAAGCAGCCGAGCCCTCAGCCGGGCTGATGTTGATGAATCAGGCTACTTTGACGGCTTGGCGGTCGGATTTCTCTGGATGGGTTTCCAAAAGTCGGGCCAGGCGCCCATGTACAGTCTTCACAGACATGGATTTTCTGGAGGGAGCGATATCCTCAAGCTAGAAGGCTGTGACTTGACCGTTGCAACGCTCATTGTTGTACGCGTCGCACCAGTTCACTTGTTCAACTCTTTGCTTTTTCCAAGAGCCTAGCAGAACCCCTACATTTCCAGGTAGCAAGGAGCCCTAGCATGACATGTGTAAGCAGACTCAAAGCCCTATCCATCCTCTCCATGCTCAGCATGGGGGATTGCACCCAATCTTTTGGGATCTTTCGGGCAGTCCCTAGTTGTCCGTAAAGCCGTAGAGGCCCGGGATCTTTGATGGGTAGATGTTGTGAAGGGCCCCCGGTCGGCAAGCCCTGAACTCTCCACCCAAGGGCTCCTAAGCCTGACGTTGAAAACGGCCTGAGGCTGAAAAGCCCTGAAGCTAAGCAACCAGGCAACCACACATGAGAGGACGGCCTTTGCAATGCATTTTGCTGGCTCCAGCCGTTGCATAAGCTTTCCTCCTGACGTTGCCTACCAACTTCATCCTCCCTGCCCCGCTTAGCCATGTCCTTCTTGGCAAGTGTGCTGCTTGTTGCATTTGGCACAGCGGGCGCGGCTAGTCCAAAACTAGTCCCAAAGCGTTTGTTTGTTCAGTTGCTCGAAATTTTTGGTAGAGCGCAACCAGTACGAGCACAGTAGAAAGTTTGAGTTTGCGTTTTTACGCTCTTCTGCAGTGGCGCACAATCAACACAGGTAGCGGCGGTAAGACGCGGCATTTCCGACGAAGTGTCAAGCACTACCCGGAAGCATTGCGATATGTGGGATGTCAGTCAGGCAATGGACACCATGTACGACGCCGAGACCTCAAAGGAGGAGATTTGCCATAAACTCTTCAAGAAGGGCGACTTCATGGACCAGGCCTGGACGCAGGCCTGGGCCCGCGAGTATGTTCGGAAGTCCCTCGAAGAGAAGAAGATCAAGTGCAAAGACGAAGAGATGGACAAAGGCGTCGAGTTCCATTGCAAGCATGAAGCCTCGGATGGGTCCTGCAATGTGTGGGCTGTGAGCCGGGAGATGGATACCAGGGATGCCGAGACCTCAAAAGAAGAGATTTGCCAGAAGATGTTCAAGAAGGGTGACTTCATGGACCAAGCCTGGACGCAGGCCTGGGGACGCGAATATGCTCGAAAGGGCTTAGACGAGAAGGGCGTCGAATGCACCGACGACGTGCTAGATGAGGGGATGAAGGTCCACTGCGGGGTGTGAAGGTGCCTAGGACTGTTCCTGAGAAGAAGTTTGACTTCATTGATCTCAGTTTGAAATACTGGGGCACCTGCACCTGCCTAACCACAACATCTTATGACACCAGAAGCCCTAAACCTTAGGAACCTGCACGCCGAAATGCAGCAAGGTCTGGGTTGAGCTGACCTGCGGGAAGACGTCCAGTGCCGGAGCCCATCTGCCCTTGGGGGTGGAAGTGGAAAGTACTGGAAGCGTAGGCATCGCTTCAGCACCGGCAAAAACCAAGAAGGGGCGTGCGTCACGCGGGGCCTTACGGTGCTAGCCGGATGAGTGAGGGTTTCTTGGTTATGCATACTCGTCAGAAACTAGCTGAGTGGCTGATGCATCACGTGGAGCACTTTTTGGGTGAGCCCGTTGCAGGGGTTGAGACGCTGACTATATTTGGCAGTGGTGGGTGCCTTGCTAGCGAAGTCTTATTGGAGAATATATTGATGAAGCTCTAGTCTTCCTCAACCTCTTGAGGCAGGGCTCTTGGCTTGGTGACAGCCAACCTCCACCAACTTCAACATGAACATCGCAAAACTTGGAAGAAAACCGAAGTCTTAAGCGCCAC